ATCCCCGCGGATCATTTCCCCTCCCGCGCACATGTGATTTGTCCGTCCCTGTTTGCCATACTGATGCGGAAGACCTTTTGCTCGGGAGATGTCTTTTCGCTTTGCCGTGAATCCGCAGCATCTTTTCGCTCTGAAGTGGTAACTACGGTACCTTCCCTCTTACGTCAGCGATATGCATGGGGACTTCGACTTCAAGCACCGTTGCCCACAGCTCGCATCCTTCCAAAGCCGACCAAGGACTGGCAGAAAGCACGACCCATCATTTCATTCTTTCGCACGTGGGCAGCTCCCTTCCTCACGGTCTTCGGCGCCCTCATATTTGAACTTACCAAAGCTACTTTTCCCGACATTGCAGGTCAACTTTCAGTACAAGAACTTGTCCAGCAGCTGTGGGAGTCGCTGTCAAAGGCAGATCCCGAGGAATACATCCACCTGGTGTCACAAGACCTGTCAGGCTTCTTCACGTCCATTCCTACGGAACGATTCCACCAGGCACTACAAGTGCTTCTCCATCGGTACGATCAAGTTGTTGGCCTTCGCAGATCCTCTCAATGGTCAGTGTTCGAAGTAAAGTCTGATCATCGACGCCGTATGTTCAAAGGAAAATGGCGCCGTCAAACAAAGATCCCTCGAACTTTTCATGAACAAGATCTCCGGCACCTTCTGGACTTTGTCATTGACAACAGTCACTTCGAGATCAACGGATACTTGTTCCGCCAAGAACGGGGAGTCGCTATGGGATCACCAGCCGCGCCACCGCTCTGCAATTTGGTTGCCACGGTTGAGGATTTCTTCTGGCACCAGACAATGTGTTCTCTGCGTTTTCGCATGCCCGATATCGGTGTGATCTGGCATGAGCGCTACGTCGACAATCGTTTCATTCTACTTCGTGATTCAGCCCCACACTCGCCCGAGCTCATGAATTTTCTTTCCCTGGAATTTTATCGACCACCAGTGATGCTTGAGGTTCAACATGATGACAAAGTGCTGGGCTATCGATGTGATTCTTCTTCCAGAACTATTACACCACAGCTACCTGATCATCCCTCCCAAATCAAAGGGATTCGGAGTGCCAATGATCAGATGTTTACTTATTCTTCCTGGTCTTCTCGCTCCTGGCTCATCATACGTGGTGCACAACCTGCGGTTCAGCAACAGCAAGGACTTAACGCTCCGTCCATCGCTGTCCCCATCGGCAAACTGCAAGCATTACTGTCATGCCTTCCTGCGCCACGGGCGGAAATGTCTTTCCCCTTGTGATCGTAGACGACCAGGACATTATCATTGCAGGTGTGCGCGGCATCAACGGCGGTGAAGCTTAGGCGTCGTATATTACAAACCTCGCTGCTGTGTCTCACCTTGAGTTTGAAAAGTTGCCTTGCATCCCTTCAGCTGCGCGCGGTTGTCATTGCATGTGTGTCTTCACCGCAGATTTTCGATTGCTTTTAGCGGCCGCGCGAGAGCCTGTCTTGCCGCTATGAACCCTCAATATTTCGAGTACCAGATCGACAGAGGAGTGGAATGGATTCGAATTTACTCACCGGGCACGTGGCGACCCGTTCCCGATGATGCTCCAGTGCTCGACCCGGTCTACGCTTCCACGTATCGGGAGTGGCGCAGGTCATATCGCTTCCAAGTGTACTGGTCCGAAGACAGCACCGGAGGAACAACAACGGATCCCATTGTCACGCCCAGTTCGTATGTGTCCTACCACGTGTGGGAGTACCGAGACTGGCAAACACGAGGGTATCAACGACTTGGAGCTCCTTTACCAGCCATTGGACTCGCGATGCTCGTGAATGCAGACGCCAATTCGTCGGGGGACTCATCGGTTCCGGATGGGGCGTGGCGAGAGCCGTCACCACCACCATTTCATGATCCTTGGAACGATTCGGAGTGATACTTGAGCAACATGTCGGATAAAATGACGCGGTTGTGCTTGCTTTGTATGCGATTCCATGTTGGGTTGTCTTGCTTGGTGTTGTGCGTTCCGTCTCCAGCTGTTCGCCGCTTTCATTTGACTCTGAGCGGTTTGCCTGGTTGATATGTTCAATTCTACAATATATGGCACTGCAAGATGGACCCTGCCACGCTACTTTGAGTACGACATCGTCAATGCCCCCGCGAATACGAGTGTAGAATGGATTCGGATCTATGTACCGGGTCCGTGGCATCCAGTCGCCGAGAACACCTTGGGACCAGCCCCGGATGACTCAACCACCTATCGGGAATGGCGCAAGGTTTACCACTTCGAAGTGTATTGGCCGAGGGATAGCACAGGCGGCACAAATACAGGTGCTGTTTCGCAGCCGGTATCTTATGCATCCTTCTATACTTGGCATTATAGAGACTGGGTCACCAGGGGATACCAACGGCTGGGTCGCCCACACCCTAGCATTGCGCGGCCAGTTTTCGCTTCGGGCGCACCGGACCTCATGTACGCTGGATTGACCTCTTCATCGGCATCCTCCAACTCGAATGGTGGCTGATGCTTGTCCTCACCTTCCTGGGGAGTCTGTTCAGTTCAATTCGATTCGGGTGATTGACTTCGATACCGGAGCCGTGCATTGCTGCAAAAGTGATTTCTTGCACTGTGGCAGTTGTGTCTCTTTCCGTAATTGTTGTCTGCAGCCGTACACCTATCAATTTGTCTTTCCGGGTTTGCGTTGTAATGCCGTGGCTGGAATGGTGTCCGGATCCTCAACAACCAGATGCCCAGTGGGTCAAGATCTTTCATCCGGGATCATGGACTCCACATGAAGAACATGATGCTCCACCTCCACCGCACACGTATAGAGAGTGGAAGGAGTTCTATGCTCCCAACCCGGACCAAGACGGTGAGCAGCTCAATGTCACCATGTGGTACAAAAGAGACTGGGCCACAGAGGGCTATCGGAGAGTCGCTGCCCCTCAAGCTGGTCATGACTGTGATTCTATGTCTTTTCCTGATCATCACAGCGTGGCCACGCAATCCGCGGCATTGAGTATGTCACCGCAAATGTTAGAAGCGATCCTGAGATCCTCGGATGCGGCGGATTTCTCTACCGAAGAACTGACTCGTCTCCAAGAAAAGATTTCTCAACAACTGACAGCTCGCGCACGTCAAGCTTCCCAACTTCATCAACCTGTACGTGCCTCACGTGGAATCACACCATCGGAGACGGTTGGGGTCTCCGAACCATACCGGCCTGTTAATCCTTCCGACAGCTGCAAAGCCAAGGCGAGACCTATCTTCGAGCTAAATGAGGACTAGACGCGCGCGAGTGGGGTAGCGTACAAAATAAGGGTGGTTTTCACACTTGCATTACCTTGCTTGGTTGTTGCTTGTACATGGTTGTGCATGGTGCCTGTTCCTCTATCAGCTGGATCGGAGCCCGCGATACGCCTTGCCTCTTACTTCGACATGGACATCGAGGATTCGAAGCAGCACCCATGGCTCGAATACTCGGTCTGGCAGGATCAGGAGTGGGTGCGGATCTACACAGCAGGACAGCCTCAGCGATGGCACCACGGAGAAACTGTACCTGATATACCAGACAATTCTTTTCGGGAATGGCAGTGGGTGACTGATCCCAATGGGCGCACTGGTGAGCACGGTCAGGCATGGACCATCCGCGACTGGCAGCATCAGGGATACCAGCGCATTCTGTCTCGAATGGAGTCCTTCACAACTCATCATTCGCATGATCAATCTCTTGGTGAAGTTCGGAATTCCGATGCCATTCCAGTTGAGGAGACGTTCACCTATGCTACTCCGTTTTCTCATGGTGATCGCTCGACTACTTCACAACTCGCTTCAGTCCTCTATGGCGACACTCGTAATGCTCAACGTGGTGATCTCTCGTTCCCGTCTTCTGAGCGGTTTAGGGCTGTTTCTCGTTCCCCTCGCCGCGGTGGATTTTTTGGTCAACGATAGGGACACGGGGTTGAGCATGTGATCTTCCTGCGGAAAAGGAGACTTCTCGCCCCTCATTGAGGGGCGTGTGTGTGCGGAGTGACAGAATGCCCTGTCACCACCCTTTCGGTTTCTCAGCAGGGGGCCAGCGGCCATCAAGCAAACGCTGGCCAACGAAGCTATGCTTGATGGTGGATGCACGGATTGATCACCCGTGTGTACCTGCAACATTTGCGTGATTCTGAAAGTCTATTTGGCCCCCTTGGTTGCGGCGCTGTGTGTGCTTCATGTTGGAACTGGTAACGTTTTCGCCTCTAGTGGGAAACCGAGTGCCTTGCGAGCCGAAACTCATCCTACTCGAGACTTGTCGGTTGTACTCGAGACTCATCAGTTGTACTCGAATGATTAGCATTCTCCATCTGGAGTTCAAGTGTGTGTGTGTGTGTGTGTGTGTGTGTGTGTGTGTGTGTGTGTGTGTGTGTGTGTGT